AATTATGAATGGCTTCTAAGAAGTTTAACTTTGCATATGAGGACACTATCATAAGGGAATCTACTATTGGTAATGATATTTGAAAGGCTAATATGTATAGACTGACTTTCTGAAATAAATTGTCCAGATTGAAATCTACTTCATACATAGTTTTTAAGCAATCATTCATTCATTCATTCATTCCTCTGTCAGAAGAAATTAAAGGAGTATAAACACAGTAAAACTTTATATTCACTTAAATTCAAAAGCTAGGTTTTTTTGTATTATAAAACAGTCGTTTTGGATTATATCTGAATATTATTTCATTGCATGTCTGTTCTCAACACTGAATTTTAAAAGAATCTTCTCTAGTTAATATATCCTTTTTGTTTTTATGCATTTATATCCAAGAAACAAGAGTCAAGCAAAAACAAATTTTAATCTATTTTCCCGTAAATTTTATAAATTTGGAAATTTTATAAAACTTTCAACTCCATAATGGAGTAATGAAAAAATTACCATGTTTAATGAAATTGTCATTTAGTTTCGTTTAGTCCCCATAATGTGGGCCTTTGCTAAAGATATTAAAGAATAGCTATTTTTAAATTTTCCTCCAGATATAATACTGACATATCATTCCACTTGTGCATTATTCCATTGTGCTTGAGCAAGGATAGTCATTCTGTGGCCCAGGTGCTATACAATTCCTTAGAGCTTCAAGTGTAGAATTTGAAGCATGTTTGAAGAAAGTAATTACTGTTATGAATTGTATTGATGCTGGATTAAAAGTAAAATTAAGTGTTTGAGAAACCTAAAGTAATGTAGTGACATGTAAGGATATGTCTAAACAACAAACCAGCAGAAACATTTTCGTGTTGTATATTAGCATCTGAATTATGTGAGTGGAAACAGTCTAAACTTACAGATTCAAGGGAATTTTTAGTTTAAAATAGCTCATTCTGGAAGGCAAAATATAAAACCTACTTTGGTAGCCCCAAAGTGGAAAGGAAAAACAAACCTTACCACACTGGGAGGATATTATTGTTACTATTGAACATGAGTAAAAAAAGAGGTATACCTTCTCTATGTACCTGGAATTTGCTCCACTGAATCTTTCAATTTGTTAATACGTTTAAATCAAAAATTTCCATTTTTTCTGAAGTATGGGAATAAATTGTATCTAATAGTTTAAATTTCTCAGACTTTGAAATAGAAATCAGTTCTTTTAACTATCTAATATAGTTAAAAATAAAAATAAAATAAAAATAGATAAGGAAAAATCTTCCTTTGAGGTCTTTATCCTTGTCATCTTCATGTTGAGTAGACTGAGGAATAGGAGGAAAAGGAAGGGTTGATCTTGCTGTTTCAAGAGTGGCAGAGGCAGAAGAGGTGGAAGGGAAGGCAGGAGAGGCAGGTATAATACATTTGGTGTAACTTTATGGAAATGCGCTGTAATTTCTGTTTGACTGTTTTGCTTTCTCATGTCTCAAAAAGGGTTTCTATATATTACAATCCTTCTTCCACTGTTTGCTTTAGTTTCAGTGCCAGTATTGTAGAAGGGTCCATGTCTTAAAAGAACTCAAAAGTAGTCCTGAATAATCAGAACCCTTTTGCCAGATTGTCTAATGTCAATTTGTTTTCTGGCACTGCTTTGGAAGCACTCATCTCCATCAAGTCATCTTCTATTAATTCCTCTGGTGTGGTGTCTATTAGCTCTTGAATTTCTCCAAGATCCATATCTTAAAATCTTTCACCTCCAACCTTTTTTGCCATATTCACAATCTGTTCTATGATTTTCTTGACTGGCTTTGTTGTAAATCCTGTGAAGTCATGCACAACATCTGGACACAGTTGTCTCCAGCAGAAATATATTGGTTCTAGCTTGCTGGCTTTTATGGCTTTTTTTATAACAATGATTGCATCTTCAATGGTGTAATCCGTCCACCTTTTCACAATGTTCTCTCTATGGGAGTTCTCTCCCACAACATTGACAATCCTTTCTGTAGAGTACCGTGCATAATGAGCCTTAAAGGTTCTTAGGAGCCTCTGATCTAGAGGATGAATTAGAGACATTGTATTTGGGGGCAGACTTCGATGTTTGTGGTATAGAACTCATGGGGTTCTGGGTAGCCAGGGGCATTGTCCAATATCAGAAGAATTTTAAGAGGCAGTCCCTTACTGGCAAAGTATTTCCTGACTTCAGGTATAAAGCATCAATGGAACCAATCCAGAAAAAAGGTTCTTGTTATCTAGGCCTTGTTATACAAGCAAAAGACTGGCAGCTGATGTTTACTTTTCCCTTCAAAGTTTGGTGATTAGCAGCTTTATAGATAAGGGCAGTCCTGATCATAAACATGGCTGCATTTGCACAAAACAGCAGAGTTAGCCTGCCCCTTCCTGCCTTATTTCCTGGTGCTCCCTTCTCTTCCTAATAATTGTCCTTTATGGCATTTTTTTCTCCAGAATAGGACACTTTTGTCTACATTAAAAACCTATTTTGTGGGCACTCTAGCCCAGGCAACAGAGCAAGACTGTCTCAAAAAAAAAAAAAAAACCTATTTAGGCAGATATTCTTTTTCCTCAGTGATTTTCTTAATGGCATCTGGGAACTTGTCTGCTGCCTTGTGGTTGGCAAAAGCTGCTGCTTCTGGTTACCTTGATATTTTTTAAGCCTAACTTCTTTCTAAAATCATCAAACCATCCTTTGCTGGCATCAAATTCCTTAGCTTATGATCTTTAACTTTCATTTTTCTTTAAGATGTCTTAGGATGACTTTGCTTTTTCTTGAATCATATTAGAGTCTATAGGTATTCCTTTCTTCCAGCAATCCTGTACCCACATAAGAGCTGCATTTTCAATGAGATAAAAAAGTATTTCCCAAGAAGTGCAAGGTTTTCATGCCAGCAGTTGTAGCAACAGCTTCATGAATTTCCTTTTTTTTTTAAATAATAATCCTTACATTGGATTTATTAATCTTGAAATGGCAAGCAACCACAACCACAGACCTCTCTACAGTACGTGTCAAGCAATTCAGCTTTTTCTTGTAATGTCATGACTTTTCTCTGCTTCTTAGGAACGCTTCTCACGCACTTCATGTGGGTATCGTGGTGTTATTCAGAGTTCACAGTATTGCACTAAATACAATGGAAATATGTGGGAGAACCAGGAGAGATCACTTTTTAAGGTAATACACAATTTACTGAAGAGACTAGCTGCTCACATGGAGGTTATTAGCTAGCTTCACAGCGTTTTAAGTGGATAGTCACAACACTTGAACTCACCGCAATAGCAACAGGAGGTAACTACAAAATTATTATAGTAGTACAGTGTGCACTACATTTAATTTTATGCAGTTATGATTTAATATTACATCTTCACATTTCTTTACATTTCTCTCTAATCGAATTGTAACTGTATGTGTAATTTTGATGAATTTTAACTTTTTATAATTTGCGTATAGTTTATGGTAGTAAATGATAAAATAGTATCTACATGCATGTCACATGCATTCGTGACATACCTTTTCTTAATTTTTTAGATATTTCTAGGCTTCATAGTTCGTGAGTTTTTTCAAATTGTCCAAAATCTCCAAAAAAAAGTTCCAGTGTATTTATTGAAAAAAACCAGCATATAAGTGGACCTGTGCATTTCCAACCCTTGTTGTTCAAAGGTCAACTGTAATAATAAATGAGAACATTCTTGCTATGAAAATGTTTTTAAGATTTATAAAACATTGACATAAATGTGAATATTCATATTCAAGTTTGACACTCTTAGCATAGTTGAAGATATATGGATTTTGCACAAAAAAGAAAACAGAAGAATTGGAAATGAAATAACTCAATTGTTTCCTTCTTTAATCATTTAATGTTTGGAATAATCATTTGATATTCATGTCTATTGTGCAGGAACAAAGAACAATATGTAGTCTTGAACAGTTAGTTACTTATTTTGTGATTTTATGTCTAAAGATTTTAAATTCTTTCTGAGAAGGGACTGGTATTTGGTATACTAGTATACCAACTGGTGTAGTAGCTAAGCCAGTACCTGACACATAGTAGGTGTTCAATAAAATATTTGTTAAATGAAAAAATGTATATACATAGCCTTTCATATTTGGAAATATATTTAAATTTTTATCTGGGAAGTGGGAATAAGGGAGCCTAAAGGACAGTTCCTTGATGTAATTGATAAATACAAATATGTATTTCTCAAGTTATTACAAATTTATCTTGGTTACATGTTAAAAATTTTGCAGAAACTTGAGACAATAGTAATATATGAAACACAGGTTGCTTAGATAAGGCATTAGCTACATACATTTTTTTCATCGTGGAGAAAATACTCAGAAATAATTAATGTGGAATACATGACAATGTGCTTTGTATAAATAATTAGATATTAGAATGGAGAGACAAGTTTCATTGTTTTGGTTGTGTACATCACCTTGTTCTGTGTTAGAAGTATTATAGCTTTAGCCCAGTCATTTTAATGAGAGAAAACTGGAGCAAAATAGGTTGTCAAGGCTTCAGCTAGAGTGAGGGCAGTTTCCTGGTATCTTATAGAGAGAGAGTAATTTCATTCCTACATCTGAGTAAGTGGAAACTATTTAGGAGTATACTTTCTTGCCTAGTGAACGGAATGGAGATAGGTAGGGCATAGGAAGATGAAGAGCTACAGGATTCCTGTTTTATTTCTTGTCTCAAGGTACCAAATTAACTCGTGTTCCAAGGCCATATTTTAGAATCACCTATTATATCAAATGTTATACTCTAAGACAATAACCACTCTAATATAGAGATAAATGTTGAGAGCAAAATAATATTTGGATTTTTTATAACAGATTACCTAAGGGAGAATTCATTTGTTTGGAGCTTTGTATGTTTTTACTATATTTAGAATTAAAATATTTTCTGTGACTTCTAATGTTTCTCTTTAAAAGTATCTCTGCATTTTGACAGCTTAAGTTTATTGAAACTGAACTCTTCTATGTCATTTCATGTTTTTCCCTTGACATGAAGTCTGACCTTCTTGATGAAGATGTCTTTTGAAAGGTGTACTGCCAGGAACAAAATGTTTGTAAATTCAGCTTTTACCAAGGTAAACACCAAATTTTATGAATTCACTTTTTTTGCTTGTATAGGGAAAAATAACTATATGTTGAATACATTCAAAAGTTTAAATATTTAACTGTTTTGCCATATTAAGTTGGCACAGGAAAAAACATGCGTATCTTTTCCTCATATTCTTTATGTTTTCTAACATGAAGCATGATGCTAGACACACGGTAGACTTCCATTAAGTTTTTGATATAAAAACTAATTTTATTATGCTACCTAAAGTATTCTAAAAAATAACTAATTATGCATATTATATCAATGTTATGATCTTAAAACAGATTTTTTTTATATGCATTCCCTTTTATCTAAAAGAAAATACTTTTTGTATTCTTTAGGTGCTAATGTGTGTTTAAAAAAAACAAAACCTTGGAGTAAAGTAGCAGCACATAATGGTTTGTGGATTTTGAAAAGGTGCAGGCCATATTGTGCTGCCTCAAAAATACAAGGATCTGATCTTCTGAAGAAAATATATTTCTTTTTATTCATAGATCTTATGATAGCAATGTCAGCAGTGCCTTAGCAGCACGTAAATATTGGCGTTAAGATTCTAAAATTATCTCCAGTATTAACTGTGCTGCTGAAGTAAGGTTGGCCATACTCTACAGTTGTATTTTAATGTATAGTAATGTTACTGATGTGTTTTCGGTATATCATTGATAATCTTATGTTTAGTATGATCCTGTAAAAATAAGTTAATACTAACTGTTCAGATATATGTGTCTCTTAAAATAGTATAATTGCAATTTAATAATACTTGTGTTAAATGCTGTCAAGTTTCTTGAAAGAGCTTATGCAGCATCAGAGGAATTTATTTTAATGTACATTTATATTCAATATAAATATTAGTTCAGATTTTTAAGATAAAACAAATACTAATTTTCTCTTTGTTTTGAAATTACTTTTAAAACTGCATATCTCAGATAAAGTATCAGATTATACATTTTGAAGAGAACTTAAAAGATAATTTTTAGTAATGTTTCTAAATATTTCTTTATAAGTGAAGGGGGGAAAGCATCAAAATACACTGGGACTCAAAATGCACTTAATCATAACTTCATAGGAAAGAAAAACCTTACAGATAACCAACCTATATTGGGAGCTGAGGAAACAGAAACTTAAATAGTTTACTACAGATAAAAGATTAGGGTCTTAATTTTATGTCTTCTAACTTTATAATAGTATACTGTTTTTTCTTGGTTTTATTAAAATGTTTTCTTAAATCCTTAGCCAAAGATTTTTGTTTGATGAGTCAAAAATATAAA